GTTGTGTCTTGAATGTATAGATTTATAGTTGCAACAAATTTGGATAACTTTTGGCTATTATCTCTTCAAATATTTTTCTATGCCCCACCCCTCCTTTGGAGACTCCAGTTACATGAATATTTTTTTTAAGTTGCATTGTAAGCCATTTATTGGGTACAGTTACATGAATATTGGGCCACTAAAAGTGAGCACATTTTTATTGATGCTCTGTTCATTATTTTCAATCTTTTGTTCTCTGTTTCATATTGTTATATGTTCAAATTCAGTAATCTTTTCTTCTGCACTGCCTAATTTGTTGTTAATTGCATATAGTATTTTTTCATGTCATTCCTTGTTTTTTTCATCTCTAGAAGTTTCATTTAGGTCTTTGTAATATTTTTCATATCTCTGCTTCCTCTAGTCATTCCTCTAGTTTTTTGAACATGGGATATATAGTTAAAACAACTGTTCTAATTTTGTTAACTAATTTTCTCATCTGTGTCATTTCTGGGCTGGCTTCAATTGATTTTTCTCCTCATTTTGGGTCATACTTACCTGTTCCCTTTAAATTTCTGATTGGGTGTCAAACATTGCACATTTTATTTTGCTGGGCATTGGGTATTTTTGTTTCCCTATAAATATACTGAGCTCCTGTTTAGGAAATGGTTAAGTTACTTGGAAACAGCTTGATCTTTTTGGGTGTTGCTGTTAAGTTTTCTTAGGAAAGACCACAACAGCATTTAGTCTAGGGCTAATTTTGTCACACTATTGAGACAAAAGTACTTTATAGTGCTTTGTGAATGATGATGTTTTTCATTCTGGCTGGGAGAACAGGAACTATTTCTACCCTGTGTGATTCTCCAGTGATTTGTCCTTGTAATCCTTCCCGGTGGCTCTTTCCCCATTTTTAAGTAGTTTCTTCACCTGCTTCTGCTGAGCAATATTCCGCTGAAGACTTGAAGGGACCACTTGAGTGGGGATCTCCAGAGCTCTGATCTGAGAGCTGGGGAGGAGAGCATGATTCTAATTTTGTTGATTCTATAGAACCAAGTGGCATAAAAAGAGGGCAATTGGATTTATAAGTTAGTTGCTCAGGAGAGAGAACTAGGCTGGGGATAGAAGTTAGTGAAGTGTCTATATATAGACAGAGTCAAGATCTCACTATATGTGAGAAAGTACAGAATGAGAAGAGAGGTGGGCTAGACCTCAGAATGCTAAGGCCAGTAAAAGAAGAGCCTGCCGAGGAACCTGCAGGCTCAGATTCAGCATTCCACAATGTCTAAGAGACCAAGAGTAAGACCGTTTTTTTAAAAAAAGTTTTTATTGATTTTTTCAGAGAGAGAAAGGGAGAGGGATAGAGAGATAGAAACATCGATGGGAGAGCCCGGCTGGTGTTGCTCAGTGGTTGAGCACCGACCTATGAACCAGGAGATCACGGTTCAATTCCCAGTCAGGGCACATGCCCAGGTTGAGGGGCTTGATCCCCAGTGTGGGGCGTGCAGGAGGCAGCAGATCAATGATTCTCTCTCATCCTTGATGTTTCTCTCTCTCTCTCCCTCTCCTTTTCACTCTGAAATCAATTAAAAAATGTTTTTTTTAAAAAAAGAAAAAGAAACATTGATATGAGAGAAACATCAATCAGCTGCTTCCTGCAGGATCCCTACTGTGGATCGAGCCCAAAACCCACCTAGTGACCTCTTGCTTCCTGGGTCCACGCTCAAACACTGAGCCATACCGCCTGGGCAAAGTACAGAGAGTTCTGACCTTGGCAAGTATAGAGAGAAATTGGGATGGTATCCAGAATGAGACAGATGGAGAAGGGATGGAAGATGAACTAGGAATAGAAACTATGGTCTGGATGTGAAAGAACAGTAAAAAGCTGAAAAGGAATATAAATGTCAGGAGTTTTCACATGGTTTGTTTTAGCAGAAGAGATGAGCATACGTTGAAAATGATACTTTTAACAATAGAGGTATATGTTTAAAATGTTATGGATCATTTAATTTATTTTAAATTAAAACTGAAAAGAACTGTAATCTGTTGCCTATAATCCTTTTGTCATATACAATGCAGCCAACTTTCATTTTCATTATTTGGTAGTTTATTTAGAAGAATAATGCTACCATTAGGGAAGAATTAAATAATCTGCAACTGCATGTTATCAGCAACTTCATATGAGATTCCTCCTCACAACAGCTACTTTAAAAGGCATCACAATGGTTCGCTTCCATTTTTTTAAAATGTGGTGCATTTGTGAATTACACACAATCAGATTATGGTGGTGTAAACCAAAATTTGGCAAACTATAGCCCTTAGCCAAATCTGGCTCATCACTTTTTATAAATAAAGTTTTATTGGAACACACACACATAAAGGTGACGGAAATAATTACATTGAGAGTAGAGTAGGCATAGAAATAAGAGATCATTTGTAGGGTAAGATATATATATATATATATATATATATATATATATATATATATATATATATTTTATTGATTTCAAAGAGGAAGGGAGAGGGAGAGAGAGAAACATCAATGATGAGAGAGAATCATTGATCGGCTGCCTTTTGCAGACCCCCCACTGGGGATTGAGTCTGCAACCCGGGCATATGCCCTTGACCAGAATCAAACCTTGGACCCTTCAGTCCACAGGCTGTTGCTCTATCCACTGAGCTAAACTGGCCAGGGCAAGGGTAAGGTTCTTGAGAAGGTGCAATGGGATGAAATCTAAAGCATAGGTGGAGTGATTGGCCTTTCATAGGAGGAAAGCAATGTCCTCTATTTGCTGTAGGAAGGAGGGAGAGAAGGAGTGAAGATAGTATGTAGGTTTGCAGGTTTGATGTTTGAAGGCTAAAGGTCAAAGGAGTTTCCATTTGAGCATGTTGGTTTTCTGGTAAAGCTATAAGAAAGATGACCAGTTGATGGGGAAGGTGGGGAGTTTGAAAATTTGAGAAATCTGAAGAAGGTTTGAGGGTTATTGTAAGCATCCTATATAATAAAGATGTAATATGCAAATTGACCTTCACTCCATCATGTCATCACAAGATGGCTGTGCCCACAGCAGAGGCGGGGTTCCCGTAACAAGCCATAATGAGCGATCAGCAGGAACCTGAGGCTGCGTGGTGCTGGGCCGGGGCGGGGGACCTCAGGCGTGCTCCCCACCCCAGCGCCGGGCCAGGGGACCTGAGGCTGCGCCCCCCACCCAGCGGGGCTTGACGGGGGACCTGAGGCTGTATCCTGCCTGGTGGGGCTTGATGGGGGGGCCGGCTGGGTCTGGATCTCACCCAGTGGGGGTGGGGCCGGCTGGGTCTGGGTCTCGCGCGATTTCGAGGTGCACACGTGTGGGTGGGGACTTGACTCTGGGTCTCGTGGTGCACCCCAGACTCTAACAGGAGGAAGATTTTCATATACACTTTACTAATTTTCTTTCATCTCTGACACTTCTATTATAAAGGGAAAATAGCAATATTAAAATATTTCCTCTAATTAATTCCCTTTTAATATGTATGAATTTCGTGCACCAGACCACTAGTTATTCATAATAGCCAGAAAGTCAAAACAATCCAAATGTTCATCAACTGATAGATGAATAAACAAAATGTGATATATCCACACAATGGAATATTCTTTAACACTAGGAATGAAGTACTGATACATGCCACAACATGAATAAACCTTGACAAAAAGTGAAAAAAAACAATCACAAAAGGTCACAAACTGTATGATTCCATTTATATGAAGTGATCAAAAGAGGCAAATCCCATAGAAACAGAAAGATTAGTGGTTGTTGGGGGCAGAGGGGGATGGGGAGTTGGGGAGTGACTACAAATGCAAATGGGGTTTCTATTTGGGACAATGAAATATTCTGATATTAACTGGTGTTGAAGATGAAGAATTTTGTAAATATACTAAAAACCACGAAATTGTGCACTTGAAAAATGTGAATTTTATGATATGTGAATTAAATCTCAATAAAGCTGTTATTTAAAAAAAGAAAGTTATTGCAGAGAGTAGACTGTCCAGATATCTCCAAGGCTCCAGTAACTTGTTATTTTCTCATTCTAAATACATATTCACCCTAATTTTATATTTGTGATTGAATATTCTTTTTCTTTAAAAGGACTCCCCAAACCATATAAGCTCCAGAAAACCAAGATCTGCCCCTGCAGATAGCTGAGGATCTATTTGAGGTCATTAAACATGAATATTTAGTGGATCACGCATCCTTTTGTATAACTTGTTCCAACATCACTTGGCTGCAGGGATGCAGAAGAACATGGAGTGGGGTTCATTCAGAGTTGGGGTTTTGTGAATTGGGAGCATGTAGTAAAAGTGTGGACCATAAAATTTAAACTGGATAAGAGGGAGAATAAAGAAAGAAGAGGTCTGATGGATCATGAGAAAATGGAGGCATCAACAGGCTACAAAAGCTGTTGAGAAGAAAGATCACTTAGGAAGAACTTAAAAAATCAAGTTAGAAAATATATAAAGTGGGATGCTAGAGGTAAATGTTAAGGCCATATGGGTGAGTATTTGAAAGTCACTGGAGATAACATGGCCATTTGCGCTAAGGAAATGTCTGAACTCTGAGATGATCTCCATGGATCTGCACATTCTTTCCCTGGCACATTCTGCCTCTAGAACCTCTGCCTGTCACCCAGTGACCCTCTCCCTCGCCTCACTGCTGCCTTCATTCAGTACTTGGTTGCTCCTTCTGAAGAGACAGAAGAAAGCTAGGCAGATAGGGGAGGGATCACGGGAAGGGAAAGTAAAACCCAAGAACCCAACTAGGTGGAGTTACTAAGACACCCCAACTAGGCAGGGAAGAAAGGGTGCACATAAGAGACATGAACTTTATTTTATTTTAAAATATATTTTATTGATTTTTTTACAGAGAGGAAGGGAGAGGGATAGAGAGTTTGAAACATCAATGAGAGAGGAACATCAATCAGCTGCCCTTGACCGGAATCGAACCTTGGATCCTTCAGGATGACGCTCTATCCACTGAGCCAAACTGGTTAGGGAAGAGACATGAACTTTAAAATGTTTGGATATTGCTAAGACAGACAGCATGCAGATAACCAGTCAGGAGCTGTCTCCACTCCCTGAATTAAAAGGCTAGCGCTTCCTTTCGCCCTCTCTCTTCTCCCCTACCTGCACTGGGTTCCTGATGTTTCTTCCTGTGGTATGGGAACGTTGCTCATATGGCTTATGGCCATATGGACCTCCACACATAGTGGACTTCAATTAGCTTGGATGCTGAACTACTATTGACTGTAACAGGAAAAGGAAGTTCTGGACGCTGGGCTGCTCCGGAAACCCAGCTACACCTTTTCCAGGACTGGCTTCTCCCAATAAACCTCGATCCGGCTGTTTTAGTCCGTGACTTCATTCGGACTCAACATCCCCCATTTTGGGTTTCACTTCCAGCCTGAGGACTTGCATAGTTTCTCTTCTATCTGAAATACTCTTCTCCACTATTTGGCCAGGCCAACTTCTACTCATCCTGAGGACCACAATATAAAATCTTTCCCAAAGGAAGTCTTTCCCAACCTGTCCATTCTCCTTCCTGGTATACAGCCAAATTAGACTCTGTTTTCTTTCACATTACTTATTCACTGTATTGTGAAAGTTAAGGGGTTAATCACCTGTATGGTGTTTTTCTGCAGGACAGAGTAGTCCCAGAACAGGTCGGGTTTTTCCTCCCTACAGTATCTGGGGTCTTCAGGGACTTGATCATCCTAGGACATTCCATAAATATTTGTTGTATAAATGAAATTTAAGGTACTTATATTTAATAGGTTTTTCCAGCATACCTTTTAAAAATATATACATATTTTGTATTGATTTCAGAGAGGAAGTGAGAGAGAGAGATAGAAACATCAATGATGAGAGAGAATCATTGATCAGCTGCCTCCTGCACGCCCCACACTGGGAATTGAGCCCGCAGTCTGGACATATGCCCTGACTGCAATTGAACCGTGACCTCCAAGTTCATAGGTTGATGGGCAACCACTGAGCCACACCAGCCGGGCACTAGCATCTTTTTACAGTATAAAGGTATAAAATCTAAAATGGCATGTAATGTAAAAATAATGCAAATTTCCTTTCTAAAATACATACATAGAAACATATCTATTTTCAACCTCTCCTCAACTTTTATTAGAGCTCTAGAAATACTAATCTAAAACAACAGTCAATAGGAAAAATACTTAAAGATTTCTTATATAGAAATGAGATGATTGAATCGCTTATTTGAAATATTAAAAATATATATTGGAACTTCCAAAAGCTAAACATATAAGATATATTACAATTTTTCATTGAAATGAATTTTATAGCAGGAGTGAGAGAGTGGTAAATTTTTGAAAGCCAACAGTGAACTACCCAACAATGGACTAATCTTACTAATGCTAATTATAAATACTTTTGATTCAGTGTGCTGACACATTACTTATGGGATAATAAGCAAAAAAACCCAAACAAATTTGATGACATATTTTCATTTGGACAACTTGTGGCAAATTTGTATTCACCTACTTGAAAAGAATTGCTTTGGTTTATCAGCTCCCATAAAAATTACCCTCACTTGTTTTCTAAAAAGCCTTTACAACAAACCCCCTTGCTTCTTCTTTCTTTTGCAGTCATCCTTGTGGTTATGCCTTTTATTCTTCCTCAACACAAGTCTGCTTCTCTTCCCTTACATCTTTCAAATATCTGGCTAAATGCCTCTTCGAGGAATACTTCCCTCTTTTCTATCTGACCTAGTCCTACTTCTTCATCCTTTCAATTTACTGTGTTTATTTCCCCAGGGCATATTTTTCACAATCTGTACTACATTGTAGACCTTATATTTGCTTACTATCCTATGTCACCATCGGAATGTTATCTCAGTTAGCTCAGGGACCTTTGTATGACACCACCCCCAGCATCTAATTTCCTGCTATAATTGTACATTTTCAAACTCAGAGGAACTCCTGGATATGAACGTGTTAATAAGAAAATGCCTAAGATAATTGTTTCCAGAAATATTCACTTATTTCCTAATACTTATAGCAGTTTTATCTATTATATTACCTTCTACATTTTCTTTTAGGGCTTTGTCTTTCATAAATACGTTTGAAAAGCTATTTCTGTTACAGGATCGTGTTAAACCCAGGATCAGGTACCATCATTGTAAAACACACACAAGTAGGCACATAGAACATCCAGTAAGTTTCCCTTTTCTAGTCCAACATCTCAGGAGTCGATTTTTAAACAAATACAGTCCAGCAGAAGAAACTGGGAACAAAGAGACAGCGTGAGGCTTTCAACTGTCCCAAAGACAGACTCGGATCAAATCCTTTGGCCCCACCATATCCCGTGCGTTCCCAGCACACTGGCAGGGCTGCTCCGGGGACCATCCAACTCGAGCCCGGGGGGTTCGCCCCTCCAGGCCGGTATCAATGGCGCTCATCCCCGCGCCCTGCCCTCCCGGTCCCTGCCCTCCGGTTTCCGGGGCAGCCTCCCTCAAGGCCGGCTTGCCTTGCAGGCTGTCAAGTAGAAAAAACTCCGCAAACTTCAGATCTCGTGCACAGTACAGACTCCGAACAAACCCTACGCTCCAAGACTGCAAACCCGACAGAACACGCTAACGTTCCTCACTCCACCCAGCGCCCAAGCCTGGGCCGCGATGCGCTCGCCTCGGCCTCGGCCGCCTTCCCCCGAGGATCCGGCGGGGGGCTCAGCCGCCGCCGCCGCCCCGCGGCCGAGGACCCCGCTCCAGCTTCCCGAACTACAAATCCCAGGGTGCCGCGAGGGCGCCGGCTCCCTCCCTCGCTCGCTCCCTCCTCCGCCAGGCGCCTCCTCCCCAGCCCTTGTTGTTTTGGCTGGGAGCGCTCGGGCGGAGTTTCAGAGAAAGTCTGGGCTGACACCGGAGCCGGCCCGAACGTGGGAAGGGGAGGAGGAAAGGGAGGAAGAGGGAACCCAGAGGCCGGGAGAGGGAGGGATCGGGCCGGGGGCCGGGCGGCTCAGAACCTGCCGCGCGCCCCGGGTGGGGGAGGCGGCGCGGGAGGAGCGCGAGGGCGCGGGACAGTGGGACCCATCCCCGGAGCCGAGCAGCCGAGCGCCTCGTTCCTCCGCCGCTCCCCGCCCTCCTCCGCGGCCGCGAGCGCGAACCCACCCTTCGGCGGGACCCGCTCCCTGCCCAGCGCCCGCCGCCCGGCGACGCCCCGCGCTTCGCCGCGGACCCGGGACCTGCCCTGTGCCCGCTGTCCACGGGACCCTCGCGGCTTCCCCTTTCCTCCCGGCTTCCCGGGTGTGCGGGGAAGTGACCCACCCTCCCCCGGGGAGGGGGAGGAATAGGATCGCCCGGGGCGCACCCGAAACCGGGAGCGGGAGAGCCGGAGCGGGCGCCGCGCTGGGCATTGTGTGCGTGTGAGAGTGTGTGTGTGAGAGCGTGCGTGTGTCGGTGTGCGCGCGTGCAGCGTAGTGTCCGCTTCGGAAAACGCTCTGGGGAGGTGCTCCTTAGGGGGCGGAGCGCAGGGGGACCGAGGCCCCGGCTCGGCGCCGGGGCAGAGTCCCGCGGAGCCCGATCGCGGCTGAGGGCCGGCGGGACCGGGCGCCTGGCGGCGAGGCGGACGCACTGAAGGGAGGCCGAAGTGCCCTGGACGGGCGGCGGCCCCGGCCCCGAGGTGTCGGCCTCGGGGGCACAGCCCGCTTCTGTTCCCGTCCGCCGACCTGCGGAGAAGAGGCTCGGACCCGGAGCCGCGCCGCGAAGCCAGCCCACCCCGCCCACCCCGTCGGACTGGGGTGCAAAGCCGGAGCGCGAGGTCCCCAGCGCCGCTCTGCCCGCCGGCGTCGGCTGTGTCTGGAGCGCGCCAGCCTGCCCCTCGGCTGCCCGGGCCAGAGCCCGAGGAGCGCGCACCATGAGCGGCGGCGAAGTGGTCTGCTCGGGATGGCTCCGCAAGTCCCCCCCGGAGAAAAAGTTGAAGCGTTATGTAAGTAGAGCTCCAGGGGCTGCGCGAGCCTGAGCGCCGGCCCCTCTGCCCGGCCGCTCGCCGGTGGCTGCCGCTGGCCGCGCGCGGGGCTGGTTAGTCCCCGTCTCCTTCCCCCGGCCCCCTTGGGACCGATCTGTACACTCACGCCCAGACCTCCACTTTGCTGGGTAACTCTCTTCGTCCAGGTTCCAGGCGCCTTGCTTTGCGGGCCCCAGCGGCCCAGAAGAGGGCCCGGGATTTCCAGCTAGACGCCCGCTGACTTTTATGACTTCTTTTAGCAGGGCCGGGAGAAGAGCATTCTCCTTCCTTTACATTTGCAATGGAATCGCCGGGGGGCTGTTGTGTACTACATTCCCCGCAGCAGGAAAACCGCAGAGGGTGTCATAAGTCACCAGCTCTCTGGTCCGCACACCCTCTTGCTTTCTCCTGATGTGGGTTCCGGGAAGAGGGCTGTGGACCTGGGAAGTTAGCATTAGACACAAGTATCTCAAATCTGCAAAAGGAGAAAGAATGAGAAGTGATTCCGCGCCCTACCGTTTGCTTAGCAGGGTTCACATTTTCGCGGTTTGAATCCAGCGACTTTGGAGTTTGGCCCAAGCGCCTTGGCAGTTTGCTGCGGGAGGAAGGCGCTGGGGGGAGCCTGGTGGCTGGTGTTTGGGCGCCTGGGGCACGCTGTCGAGCCCCGCAGGAGGGGACAGCTGAGGCTCGTAAGGATTTCTGTGGTCTTTTCCCAGGCCACCGGAGTTGCTTAAATGGTGTTTGTGTAATTGGTACAAGATGCCGATTATGTGTTAAACCGTTTTAACTGTTAGGAAAAATATTCCTTGAAAGAACCAGCCTACTTTGGTGGAAATCTGTGTCTTCTTCAGGGGTCTGGGATCTCCTCCCTCCTTGTTTCTTTGGTCGCTGCTCTCCACCCTCCACACCCCCTTGCAAAGGAAAGAAATGGCACTTTTGCCCTGGCATATGGAGCAAAATTTTCCTAGTAAAATACATTTCAAAATCAGAATTTATGCCCCCTTAATTATAAATTTACTACCAAGGGGCCAACACTTCTAAAGGAACGTGCTCCTTGTTGAAGGATATCTATACCGAGTATCAGAATGAAGTTAATCCTTTTAGTAACTGCTTGCTTGCACAAAACGGGGTGAAGTGCAATACTTAGCTTCACTGACAACTGGCCAGTGAGTTTCTTACGCTCTGCCAGGATTTGTTATAGACACGTAATTCTCATTTAAGGACTTGATGCCACACATCCTAAGAAAGTTCTCCAGATATTTTGAGTCCTTCTAAATTCTGTCTCTTCACCTGTCACCTGTCACAGTTTGCCTTAATGTCCTGGTAGAGAGTCTAACTTTATTCCAAAAATGTAAGAGAGGCAGTGGGTATCCCCCACCCCCATCCCGTGCAAGAAGAGGGAGTAGAGAGATAAAGAGATGTATTTGTTTTGAGAAGGCACATTTAGGAAACACCTACGACGAAGTGAGTGGGTTCTTGGGGGAACTAACGAACTATACATTTGCTGAAATTGGTAGTGATAATAGAAGTTTGATGCATTCTTTCACATGGTTGGTCTATGGCTCTCTCAAAAGATGCTGTGCACTGGACTAGGCACCATCAGACTAGGAAACACAGTAAAAGTAAAGCCTGCCTTTTGGGCTTGCAGTTGAATGTAATATAAACCAGGAAGAAAATCGTCCAGAAAGATTGTCTTCACAGGAACCCCCCCAAAAAAGTAAAGTCCAAAATTTTTAAAAGTTATTATTTCATTTGATCATTCCAACAGTTCTGAGGGAGCTCTATTTCTGTTTTACAGATAAGAAAACAGTCTACATGACTAGAATGTGCCAGAGGCAGAATTTGAACCTGGATCTGCCTGATTGATTGTTTAATTCAGATTAGACCATCTCTAAAGGTCCTTTCAGATGATAATTTTCTAGGAGTCCATGTGAATATGAGCTCAGAATGCAACGAAGAGGTGGAGTGTGGCGCAGGCGAGCATTTGCTAGAGGAGCAAGACCCTTCAAGTGGCTTTCCGAGTCTACGGGAAGATGAGACCAGTATAGTGAGCAGACCACGCAGAGTGATTCTTGACTGTGTGCCCAAGCTGAGTGCCATTGTTGTTTTTTTAATAGATGTTTGGAGGAAAAAGCTCAGTGTAGTCTGAAACCCTGGGAATACTTTAGAGACAGTGGGCTCCCTAAATTGTGTTTTCAACAGGGGGAGCAATCTGCCTAACAGCTGGAGGGGGGCTGAGTTTTTCTTGCCTGGTAGAATATTAGTGTTTTCTTTTCTTTTCTTTTTTTTAAACATATTTTATTGATTTCATAGAGGAAGGGAGAGGGAGAGAGAAACATCAATGATGACAGAGAATCATTGATCGGCTGCCTCCTGCACGCCCCCTACTGGGGATCGAGTCCGCACCCTGAACCCCGGGGGGCATGTGCCCTTGACCAGAATCAAACCTGGGGCCTTTCAGTCCACAGGCTGATGCTCTATCCACTGAGCCAAACCGGCTGGGGCTAGTAGTGTTTTCTTTTCACACTAGCGAAGTACCTGGAGATGGCCCAGGAAGACAGTGGGTAGGCTGGTTGTCAGAATCGAGGGGTCCAAGAGGGTGACTAGGTGTTACAAGTTAAAATGAAGCTTATGTGTGTATTTTAGCTGTCAAGTTTGTTGCCCAGAATATTTTGAAAATCTCAGATTATGGATCTTTGGCTTTGGTATCCAGTTTAGATTGCTTTTGCTAAAGCAGCTTTGATCCTCACAGATATAGGCGCGCATTTATGCATTTCCTATGCTTGTTTTCTTTTCGTGTGAAATCTTTGTTTTCTGGTTAGAAGGAAACCTTGTTGGCTACCGAACAAGTAAACAGTTGCTTAATATGTTTTGGGTTTTTTTTTTTACTCCTCAGCCAATGATATGTTTATTGATTTTGAGGGGGGTGAGGGGGGTGGGTGGGAAGAGATATGTGAGAGAGAAACACGATTGATTGCTGGGATTGAACCCACAACCTAGGTATGTGCGCTGACCTGGAATCAAACCTGCAACCTTTTGGTGTCCTGAACAAAGCTCCAACCAACTGAGCTATCCAGCTGGGGTTTGATAATGGTTTTTAATGAATGGATTTGCTGTGAAAAGATACTAGGATGCATGGTACTGTAATTGTTAAATGAGACTTCAGGGAGTTAGAGTATTGATCCTTTTGGGAAACGTTTGGCCCATGGGACTTTGACAGTTGTCTTGTTGTTTATAGGGTAGTCCCAACATTAAGATGATCCGAGAAAGGGCTGTTAAGTGACAGGTTTATCTCTAAAGTCATCTCAAGTTATGGCCCCAATGCATTCCATTTACAACTGCATTTTATGTTCACTGTTGACACTCAAGCAGCATTGTTTTTGCATACTGGTGTGTTCAACTGATAAGGAAGCTTTTCTTGAATTTCCTAAACTAAGTGAAAGTGGCATAAAAGGAAGTGAGAGAAAGCCTGGAGTCCTTATGGATTCCTTAGCCTTTTTGTCTCTTTGTAACCTTTTCTGTCTTTATTTGAAAAAGGGCAAGAATCTCTTATATGTGTTTTATTCTCTCTGAATTTTTCAAAGTTTATTAAAATGGAGGTGAAATTTTACATGCTTTTTTTTTTTTTTTCTTTCAGTTTTGCTGCTACTGTGTTGTTTTTGTCCTGCATTATATATTAAACAGCTGCTTTTTTACTTTTAAGGACCTGAGTGGAATCATATACAGATCACCACCACTAAGGGATGCAGAAAACAAACTCTTGGTAGTATGCATTCAACAGACATGCTCAGGTTTTTAAAGAGTTATTTAAAGGCAAATCTGCCATTTGCCTGGCTGGTATAGCTCAGTGATTAAGCATGGACCCATGAACCAGGAGGTCATAGTTTGATTCCCAGTCAGGGCATATGCCTGGATGGTGGGCTCGACCCCCAGTAGGGGGCGTGCAGGAGGCAGCTGATCCATGGTTCTCTCTCATCATTGATATTTCTATCTCTCCCTCTTCCTTTCCCTCTGAAATCAATAAAAACGTACTTAAAAAAAAAAAGTCATAAATAAAATAACTAAAGACAAACCAGCCACTTGAAATAATGATGGACTTTTCGTCAGAACTTGAAATTTTAGCTGAGATAAAATGTAAGTCTGGAAACAAAGGACTGATTCACGCCAGCTGGCTATCACCATCTCTCTGCAGGAGGAGCTGCCCTCTGGCCTGCCTTAAGCCTGGACACCACGTGTGGGCTCCTCCATGGCCCAGCTGTCAGCGTTGGGCAGGTGTGCAATCTCAGCAGGAGAACCTGCTTCTGAGGCCTGGACAAGGTGGCCTGTTAGCTGCCAGCCAGCCTGGGAGCAAGAACCCAGCCAGTTCTCGGGTGTATAATCTGCACTGAGCTTGGCTTCTGCTGCTCTTCACTGTCATTTAAGAGGATGGTTCTTGTCTGGTCTTCCAAAACATATCTCCTCTCGCCCCAGTACTGGAAATGGGCCTAGAAACAGAAATAGCCTCTTCCTCTGTTTGGGCACCTGACATCTTACACGGAGAGGGTGCATGGGCAGCCGAAGTAGCAACATCTCTTTGTTGAAGGACAACCTGGGACCTGTGCTAAGCATTAAGTCTCTGTTCGGTAGTGTCACTACAACCAAGATGTCTGGAAGCTCCTCCTGCTCCTTTTGGCGATGAACAGAAGCAGTCAATGGATTCTGAAACTTTTGCTTACAGTGAGTGAGGGACAAAATTATTCTGTTGAAGAAAATTTTTTTTCTTGCAATCCCCATGTTAGTAAACATTCCATTAAAATTCCACATGTGTTGTTTTTACCTTTTCCATTGTGGCCGGAACATTGTTTCTATTAACAAAGATCAACAACTACCAATTGCATTAAGCCTTTATGATAGTTAATGATAGCTCATGCTTTCATTGTGCAAAACTCCTTGTGAAACTGGCTGAGTTCCTAAGTCTGCTTGTCCTTTGGGATTCAAAATTACTGTGAGGAAGGTGTATCCATTTGGAAGGTAGCTTTAGAGTTCTGCTGTTCTAAAAATTTGTTTTTAAATTTTTAAAAAAGATCATCTTTGAACAAAACATAATATGGCAAGAGACTAGGATAGTCTGGCTGACAGCTGAATTGGTTCTTTCAGTGTTTTGTTATTATAAGTCTGCTTTAAAAATCTGAAGGAAATATAATAATAAAGCACTTTTCAGGCTAAATAAAATTCCACCTTTTGGAGTCAACATGAAGAATATAGATGAGGTCTTGACAGTTTGCAGATTGAGGAATTTTAAGAGGTGATAGATTCAAAACATTGAGTGCCGGCACTCTAATTTTCTTACAGGTATTAATACAGGAGAAAGGAGGCAACGGGTAGACTTTATTTTCAACGGTTTTGGGTAAATTGTGCTACCGTGTAAGAAACCCCGGACTGAGTGTCAGGACCCAGAATTTAACTTGACTTTGCCACTGCCCAGGTGATCTTTTGCCCCATCTAATCCTCAGTTTCCTGTTCTATAAAATGGGGAGGGGTCGGTAATTGATCTACATTGTAAACCAGAGGTCCTCAAACTTTTTAAACAGGGGGCCAGTTCACTGTCCCTCAGACATTCCACACATGCGCACTGCGGGCCCGGGACGAGTCGGCTGCTAAGCAGGACAGGCAGCGGCGGCAAAAACACCCGGCGGGCCGGATAAATGTTTTCGGGGGGCCGCATGTGGCCCGCGGGCCGTAGTTTGAGCACGCCAGTTAAACTCTTGCAGGTTTTACATTCGTCTTGTCAGACATTTCCTTGGGAGATAGAGGCAGATGAGGAGCTTCTCAATAGGCCTTTTGGGGAAATAAATATTATTTATTGTTCCTTTTAAATAGTTTGGTAACTCTATTAGGAACTGCTCAAGCAGAGGTTCTTTGGGGACTCTGGGTGTTTTGCTTAATAGAAATGCAGGCTCACTGAGCACCAGGCAAGCAGTTTTCTGTGCTGGGTGCTGAGCACCAGGTAAGCTCAACAAATCTCTGTTGACTGAATAAATAAATGAACAAGTATTTCTGGAGCTTTTGCACTGTGCCGTGTGTGGAATACAATGGAGGGAAAGGCCCACTCCCTGCCCTTAAGGAGTTTCTAATCTGTTTTGAAGACAAACTGTAATTAATGCACGTACATATAAATCGTTTTATAAGACATGTTATAAAGCCATATATGATTAACCGCCAAATGAAACGATACAGATAATAATTGCTTAACAGTTCAGACTGAGGGGGCAGGGGGTGGGAGGCTGCCAGGGAAACTTCAGAAATGAATTTCAGGCTCAGTTCTAGGAAGAATTGAGATACTGCTGGTAGAAATGGCAAAATCATAAGCAAAGTCTGATTTTCAAGGAGGAATGAAGAATTTGTGTTGAGATCAGATACGCTCATGAGGAGAACAGCTTCAGGACCCCTCAGGTTCGTACATGGAGTTTGGACAGGGCTGTACTTGTGGTTCCAGAAGTTTCTGTTTCTGCAGTGGTGACCTAATGCTCCTGATGGGATCCGGACCGCAAGTGAATTTTATGTCTCGACTAGAAACAAACAAAGCACCGTGTTTGGTCACCTGAACTCATTAACATTCCAAGGGACATGTGTTAGTTAAGATTTCTTTATGTCTGTTTTGAGCTAAATAATTCATTCTGGCAAGCGTTTCGTTTGCAACAGAGAGGGAGCATGTTCTGGTGGGAGGGAGAATAAAAGAGCCTTTGATTCATTTGCTTCTGAGTTCCAGCAGGAGGGCCAGCGCCCGCCTTGGGCTAGCCTCTTATTTTGGACTTTGGAAGCCATCTTAGCCCAGCTGTGGGAGTGCCAGCTAGTGCTGGAGGAAAGAGAATAACCCCATTGGATCACATTAAACCCCCAGCTGACTGTGGATGGAGGGGTTTCTCTCATTTCACATTCCTTGCATTAACAGGGTGGCTAATTTCCACGAAGTTAGAGCTCCATTTGAATTTGCCATTTGAACTTGAATTGCAGTCACCACATTTTCGTGACTCCTTTTATCTCTGTCCACTAGAAAAAAAGGAAACTAATCTAGTCCCAGGTTCCCTCCCCCCCCGCACCCCCTTCTGCTACAAGCACAATTAATGTTAGCGTTCTTTTCTTCTTTCGATTACTCCTGGGGGAAAGTGGCTCTTTGTACTCATTTCTACATCCATTAAATAAGTAGCCTCTTCAGTTGCCAACCTAGTGGCTGAGGAACCATAATATGAATTGTCGTTGGAATGGAAGCCTGTGGAATTACTGGGAAAAGTCACTCCATGAACTGGAAGTTTGTGACCATTCCAGGCTTGTATGTATGTAACACGAGAATGCCTTACCTGGGGGGAGGGGGAGACTCTTTTATATTTTAAGCAATTGTTTTACTCATAGGAGCAAAATTCCCCCTACCCGAAGAGAAAAATTCTCATCGCTGAATGCGTATGAAGTTGAACACAGCCGGCTATATAAAAAAACAGTTGAGCCTGTGCACTGAAATGCATGTGAGGTCGTTATCTCTGTTACATTAGCTCTCGAAGCATTCTGATTACGACTTGTAGCTGCCAGGCCCCGTCCTGCAGTGTTATCTGGAGCAGAAATTTTCCATGTGGTTTTTTTAGCAGAGCTACTATATGCAAACTGCACATGAAGCTGTAAGTTGCAAAGAAAAGAGCTTCTAGAAGAGGAAATGTGAGTTATCTTAATTTTTTTCTACCATTTAATTGTTCTTTCCTGAGTGCACGTTTCAGACATTTTTATCATATTTCTGAGCTGAGTTTTATTTTTACGTATTGGAAAGAATGCCGAATTTACCATGAATTTTTCTTACGGTGGCGTTTTTTTGTTTTTTTGTTTTTGTTTTTGTTTTTTTTTTCTCCCGGCTTTTTACTTTGAATTCATACTTGGCCTAGGTAATTCCCTGTGTGTTAAAAACAAAACAAAACAATGTCCCAAAGGAAAAAAAACAAACATGGCTACATTGTTCCATGAATTAAAAACAATATGCTGAGAGTCCAAACATTTCTTTTAAATGTAAAAAATTTTAGGTCATTATTTTTATAGGAAGAAAAATACTAAACCTTGCTTTAACTATCCTGTTCATTGTTTTTCTTTTCCCTTTTTTATTTATTTTGCTTTGTTTTGACTCATGTAGTTTAAATGTTTTTGAAAACAGTATTTATATGTTCTTCTTTACGAACATGACACATAAAAAGGAAAACATCAGAATTCCATTTTATATTTGAAGAGAAAAGCCACAGGAAGACATGTAGTCTACTGAGGGCAGGACATGTCTGTTAACATCAAGGCTTTTTAACGCTCACGTTGCTTGGTTGCATTGCATAGTTGTCATTATTGTTCAGCTAGTACACACGAAATAGGCAGGTGAGTGCAATGTTAGTTAAGACGTTCACTTTCGTGAAGTGAAAATGTAGGACAATAGCATCAGGAGAAGGCTGAGAATTCAATCTGTTTTTGTTGTCATCTTTATTATTTAATGCACCAGTTAGCCAATTGCTATAAAATTCTAATTGCTAACTTTTTAAAGTGGGTTAAAGGTAAAAGCATTCTTTGTCCCCTGGATCCCTACCCTCTGGCTCTTTTCCTCTGTTTCCACGTCTTCTCGGTAACATAAGCCTGGCCACCAGCATCACAAAGTACGTGTGTCAGAATCTTGACACACACATTCTTTTACCTTTTCTCTAAAAGGGGGAGGCATCTCTAGCCCGGTAATGTGGTAATCGAGACTAGGAATAATCATGTTCCACAGGCATGTAGATTGTTTTTCTCTCCTGAAATTCAGTTTTAAGTTACTACTGTATTGGGAAATGTGGTTAGGGCACTTTCTGACGAGCAGAACTCCTCCCTGAGATGACTACCTGATTAAAGAATTAAGTACCTGGTTTGTTTTCTCTCAGCTCCAGCACATCACACATTCCCATCAGTGCCTTGGCCAGAGTCTCCCAGTAGCCAAGATGAAAGCGCTTCTGGTTGGAGGGATGACCCATTTGATTGGCAGGAGAGAAGTGCTTTAATCTTAAGTTGACTCTGGGTAGAGAGTTTGGGAAGAGAAACACTTGGTAAAAGGATACCTTCTGTGTTTTGAATTCCAGTGCTGTTAGTTGAGCTTGATGAGGAATGATCCCCTCATTTCACTTAGGGAGGTATTATCTGAACCCCCTTCTCTGTGTTAAAGTTATAATTGACCATGAAGTTGTGGAAGAGTATTGGATTTTACACGTTCTCCCGGACAATTTCAGGTTTAAATGCTTGAAGTGCTGAGAAAAGGTAAAAGGAAATATTGAACTAGTAAGAATGCAAAATATTTGGGAAGCTAATTTGTTCTTAGTGATGCTGTTACATACAGCCAAAGCTTTCTGAGTAACCTTCACTGGATATATAGGTCATTTATTTCCAAAGAAAGTGGCACAAAATTAAATTGGTCCTGTTGAATAGTATTTTTTTTTCTATATCTTCATTTAAACAAATAGTCAAAACGGGAAAAGCAATATTTTTAAAAATATTTTTGTAGATGACTTTTATAATGACCCACAGATTACAAAGTAGAAAGTGTATACACATGCTTTGTTTACAAAGAAAATTGGGGCTTCATTTATCATCCTTTGGTGTTTGTAATAGGACATTAATTTCCAGAGGACAAAGATGGCATTTGTCCTCTGTGTCTAAAATGTACCACAGGATACCTTGCACAGTCTCTTGAACCATATGACCAGATAATTGTAGAACTTTAAACCTAAAAGCATAAATCATGTTGTCCAATGATTCTCAATCTTTTGTAACCCATTTCTCTCTAAGGTACTGTTTGAATGTCCTTTTTTTAAAATTTTTTATATTTTATTATTTTTTAATCCTCACCTGAAGATGCTTTTTCATTGATATTTAGAGAGAGTGGAAGTGAGGGAGTAGACAGAAATATCTATGTGAGAGAAACACATTGATTGGTTGCCTCCTACACATGCCCCAACCAGGGCCCGGCCAGGGAGGAGCCTGCAACCAAGGTACATACCCTTGAACAGAGTCGAACCTGGGACCCTTCGGTCCGCAGGCCCACACGCGATCCACTGAGCCAAACCAATTAGGGCTGAGTGTCTTTTGACTTTTAATCCAGTTTTACTTTCTATGATTTGTATCACCAAAACAATAGCTATATTGAATATCTTTTCCAGTTTTACATATCTCCTCCTTCCCTGGTTGAGTCCAGCCTCCTCATTTCACAGGGAATGAAACTTGGCCTCTGGGAGACTAATTGATTTGCCCGAGGTCATACAGTGCAGGGCCACATGTCTCACCGCTCAGGTCGGATCCTTCATTCACTGAGGGGATGTCTATGGAGAAGAATTCAGAAGAAGAAGACCAAGAGGGCACTGTCTCCACTCTTCAGGAGTTTATATGCTACTAGGGACTTCGGATGCATTCAGTGCTGCAAATTATATTATGATCAGGAGTGTGTGAGACAAAGCTCCAGAAGAATTCAGCAGCGGGAGGTGAATTCAGGGACTCTCTGAAGGCTTAACGAAGGTGGTAAGAGAGATTTCACCAGGACCTTAAAAGATGGATTCAGTTTTCAAAGATGCGGCTGGAGGGAGACTCTATTTCTCCTTTTTCCCAGCCAGACTCTTGAGTGAGTTTTGTGCACTTGGCTGTCCCTTCTTCCTCCCCTGCCACTCATTTCATAATAGAATATAACCTGAATCCTTCTCCACCACTCTTGTTGCCGAATCGAACAGAGCTAGACTTGGGCTTTTTGGTTATTTTTTTTATGAAACTCCCGATGGAAATGACCAACCCCTCTTCTCAAAATGTGTTCTTTCCTGTGCCTTCCTGATGCCGGGCTCTGGTTTCCTTAAGGTTGGCGTTCCTACGGGCTCTGGTGGTCTCCCTGGATGGCCTCTCCTCCCATCTCACACTGTTAGTGGTTCTTCATCTGTTGTGAGTTCACGAACTCTGAAAACTTGATAAAAGCTCTGGGCACACAGTTTCTGCAGAATCCTTACAAACTTGGATGCAGATGTTATTATAACCTTGCACATTTTCTAACATTTAAAGCCCATCTCTGGATCTGAAATGCCTCTGAATTTATACTGTATAGGCTGATGATTTGAAGATTCTGTCTCATCCCTTTTCTCACTCCATGTCTATGGATCTGCTGAGATCCGTGCAACTGCTTAGAGAGCCTACAGCAACTCAGCATGTCCACAGCGGGTCTTCCCAGCCTGTCCCCTAAACCTGGTCCTCTCAGTCCTCCCTCTCTCAGTCGCACCACCATCTCTTGTCTTGTGGCTTCAGCCAGAAGGTTTTCTTTGTTGTCCCTTCCTCATTCTCCACATTCAGTGACCAGATTCTGTCAGTTTACCTCCCAAATATCTCTATGCTTACTGACCCTTCTGTTGCCAACGCTATTTTTGCCTTTTTTTCTGGATTGTTGCAATAGCCAGTTGATCTTCCTACTTTCATTCTTGCCACCTCTCAGCCCCCAGCCTGCCCTTATCAAGGCATCCAGATTGGCCTTTCTGAACACAAGTCTGATAATACCATTCCTCAGTTTGAAGCTGTTCTGCAGCATTCCTTTGCCCCCAAGAAGGCCCACCGAGCCTCCCCTGAACTCCCGCCACCACCTTCAATCTCACACATACACACAGTGGGCTGGAGCATCTGTATTGTCCTCCTCTGATTCTCAGCACAGCCCCTGTCACACCTGATTATACTTGCTGCTTTTAATTGCTTTTTTCCCCATGAGATGGCAGAGCCACATTATGAGGTTTTCCAACCTCTGGTACTTTTGCCTTCACGGCCCCCCAACCCCTCTAAAACGATAGAATAAACATTATATTTTGCAACTGCACCAGTATGAAGAGGAATATATTCCAAGCTGGCTTTATTATTTTATCTTTATTATTATTATACAGGTGCATAATAAATCAGGTTGAAAATAATTGTATGTTGAAAATGTATTTAATTCATCTAACCTACTGACCACCATAGCTTGGCCTAGCCTACCTGAAACGTGCTCAGAACACAATATCCAGAATCACTGGCAGCGCAGTCCCCTGCAGAGTGTGGGGTGTTCACCCTGCGGACCACCTGGTTGCCGGGTTGCTGTGCTCGCTGTCACTGTCCAGCATCATGAGAGTGTATTTTACTGATTATCGCTAGTCTGGGAAAAGCTCAAAATTTGAAATACTGCCCAAACCGGTTTGGCTCAGTGGATAGAGCATTGGCCTGCGGACTGAAGGGTCCCAGGTTCGATTCCGGTCAAGGGCATGTACCTGGGTTGCGGGTACATCCCCAATAGGAGATGTGCAGGAGGCAGCTGATCGATGTTTCTCTCTCATCGATGTTTCTAACTCTCTATCTCTCTCCCTTCCTCTCTGTAAAAAATCAATAAAATATATTTTAAAAAAAAATTTGAAATACTAAAAAGGAAACATATGTAAAACTTCAGAATAAAGAAAAGAAAAGAAAAATATTTCTTCTTAGTTTTGCTTGCTGGCATAGCAAACACATTTACTGATAAAAGATGTTTTTCAATAAAGTGCCAAAAGTAAAAATGGGAAAAAAAGTTTGAAGTATTGTTTTTACTGAAGGTGGGTAGCTTTTGCACCATCATAAAGTTGAGACATTCAGAGTTAAGCCATCATAAATTTTGGCGACTCTGGTATTCATTATTAATACTGATTTTAAAAGAAATTAATATTAATACATTTTTTTGTGGGCTCCTATAAGCCTCATGGGCACTAGCACTGTGCCTCCTGTTAAATGGACATGAATGCTTTGGAGAGTCAACTGGTTGATTGTGACCAGGAAGGGTGAGGAGCCCACTCAGTTATTTTGTAATGTGGCATTTCTGTAATGGCTTGGGTAGCTTACTAAAACAATAGTAAGATTTTGCATTTTAGTCCCTGGTAATGGAAAATAGGGTGATAAAAGGTGTTTTATATATATACACATATATATATGTAAGAGCATATATGTGAAATCATGATGTGAAAAATATGTTCTATGAGCTGTTGATGATGTTTCTGCGTTGTTTTTTTAATCTTTATTGTTGAAAGTATTACATAGGTCCTCCTTCTCCCCCCCCCCCCAATTAACCTCTTCCAGACCTTTCCTGTCCTCTCCACCCCCCTTCCCACTCCCCACCCCACACAAACCAGACCCAGACCCTCACCACCCCATTGTCTGTGTCCATGCTCTGTGTTTTTTAATGGGAGTGGGGAGGTGATTTTGCCCCTACTGGGGACATTTGGCAATGTCTGGAGGCATTTTTAGTTGTCACAAATAGGGGTACTACTGGTTGTTAGTGGGTAGAGGTCAGGGAGGCTACTAAACCTGCCACAGTGCACAGGACTGCCCGCACAACAAACAATTCCCGGGGCAGAGTGTCGACGGTGCTGAAGTTGCAGAACATTTCTGTAGGAGGATCCTTCCTAACGCTTGGTTCCTGTATCTGTACTGTGTATGTAGTTTATTTCCCTGTGTTGCCTTTGAAAGCCATAATCCAGGTACAGGACTGTGTTGTAACACTGGAACCGAACATTTACTTTTCTGACTTCAATAAAGTTGTGGAAAGCAGTCATCAAGGTGACTGAGTTTTTTGAACACCAGAGCTTAGTGCTGTGTGACCCTTTCACAGGGGCTTAGATGATCGACAAAATCTCTCTCAACCCGTCTGTTGTCATTTAAATCGTTACCCAAGTACTCATTTTGACCTTGCTCGTTCTAGCTGGAGTACAACCAATTGTTGTCTGGGTGGGGAGGGGGTGCTGAGTCATTTCTTCATGCTTTTATTACCTCTTGGCTTGAATACCACCACTCATTGTTCACAAGCCGCCCAGCTTGTGTACTTTTTATAAATTACATGTACTCCCTCCTCCTGCAGGGCTGGCTACTGTAATTGGCAGCAGCCACAGAGCAGGGCTGACGGGTCTGCATTTATGCTGATGTTTCACATTCAGTTCCTGATGTACTCTCTATGCTTTCTTGCTTCTTCTATCTTTGTTTTAAAAGGAAAGCGGAGAACCACCGTTCAGATGTTCTGATGGTACTTATTTACAGCTTGGCAGAGTCCCTGTGTCCTTTGGTTTGGGGAGGAGAGTCAAGGTTTTGGGTCAGTAGTCCTCAAATTTCAGTGTGTATAACAATCACCTGGGTAACTTCTAAAATGAAGATCCTGCCCCCTCACCCCCCCCTCCAGTTCTTCTCATTCACTTATCTTTTTAAAAATTAAAGTATACTTGGCATGCAATAGTAAATGAGTTTCTGGTGTGCACATAGTTATTCAACATTGATAACCCTTTGAAGTGATCACTGCAATAAATCTAGTAACCAGCTGTCACTGTACAAAGTTATTACAATACTATTGACTATAGTCCCTAATCTGTACGTAAAAAGAAGGTTCATGAGCCTTACCCACCTTCTGATATTTTTAGTAAGTCTTGGTAGAAGCCCAGAAATTACATTTTCTAATCCACACCCCTGCTGATTTCTAATGTAGGTGGTCCTTAAATTATACTTGGAGAAATCCTGAGTTGAGTGTGGAGGGAAAAAGAGAGAAGGAAGAAAATCCAATAGAAGCAGATTCATACAAAGAGTGGAAGAGGGAGATTAGAACCAAAATTCAGAAAGTAATTTAGCCTCTCTTCTGTGAGATACGGGAAATATGCTATAGTGATTAACAAGATATGTGCTTCATGTTTTCTAGCAGTGATTTAGATCAAACTGTCTCCTAATGGCATATTTAGAGGATGACAAAAGTGAAAGGGAATTTTTAGAAAGTTTAGACTATGAGAAAGTACCTAACTATTGGCAAGAAAGTCAAACGGCTTTATTAAATCAAGGAAGGTATTATGTAGGTATTGATTTTAAAAAGAGTGTGTGTTCTTGGATTGAGCTTATGATTGACTTAAAAATGGAGAGGAGAAATGAAAGGGGGTTGATTAGCTCTTTACCAGATTTCTGGCTATTGGATCTGAAAGCATATTATTGAAATATAGTCCCGATTTCCTGGACTTGTTATGATTTTAAACATTCTTTCCCCATTGTCTTTATATTACACGTCTGGTTGGCCCAAATTTTTGGTTAGTTGAGATGTTTTTGATTTGTAAGAGCACCAAAGTAGTTGTATTTGACTAAAGAAGTTCTCTGCACCCCCTTTCCTACTTCCCCCCTATCTCTGTCTCACTTATTTTACTTAGCATAACTTCCTCTAGGTCAATCCATGTTGTTGCAGATGGCAAGATTTTGTTCTCTTTTATGGCTCAGTAATATCCCATCTAGATATATAAAAGCCTAAGCGACCGTCTGTTTGACCATTCGACCAGTAGCTATGATGTGCACTGACCACCAGGGGGCAGATGCTCAACACACAGGCATGGAAACATGGAACAGACTGATGAATCTCCGAGGGAAGCGGAGAGGAGGGAGGGCAGGAAGAGATTAACCAAAGATCTTATAAGCATACTAGAGGCCCGATGCACAGATTTGTTCCTCAGCCTGGCCTGCAGGGATTGGGCTGAAACCGGCAGTCCGACATCCCCCGAGGGGTCCCGGATTGCGAATGCATGCACCCGGTCTCTAGTTTTATATATATATACCACCTCTTCTTTATCTATCTCTTTTAGCCTAAACTTTGATTTTAAAATCCACTTTAGAGAAAGAAAGCAAAAGAGACAGGCAAAACAGGCTCTAGTTTAGAAAATTGGTCAAGACATGGAACCAAGAAGGAATGGTTATTTAATTCCAGCAGGGGACTAAAGTAAAGGGTTTTATATCCAACTATCCACTGAACGTTGTTTTTAGAAAGCTATCATATTTTTCGGCATACTATTTCCTTAGTGGTACTTTACGGTTTCTTTCGGTTACCTTGCAGAAAGTTCTTGACACACTCCTTGCCTAAAGTAAGAGGAATTTGGGGAGTTTCTTATAAAAATGACTATCATTAACTTTCATTAAATCATTCACTAACCTGCTGTGTCTCTTCGTCGAAGTGTTCGTTTTTACATTTACGTTACCCTCGCCATCTCTGTGTCAAAGTGTTCCTTTTCCATTCGAGGAACCTAGATTATACTGCAGACCATTTCATCACTAGTTTGCTAATCTTTCCTTCCTCCCTTTCTATTTGCAATTCTCCATGCTCTCTCCCTTCTCCATTTCTTTTACTTCAGCCTCTTAGATACTATGCTACGCCCATCTGCCCACAAGCTCTTACAGGATCTTCCTATCTCCTTTGTAAGTGGTGAGTATCATTATTGATATTATTTTTTATAACTTTATTTCTTAATTACAGTTGATGTACATTTTTATATTAGTTTCAGGTGTACAACATAGTGATTAGTATTTATATAACTTACGAAGTGATCACCCCAGTAAATCTAGTACCCATCTGACACCACACATAGTTATTAAAATATTATTGACTGTACCCCATATGCTGTACTTTACAGCCCTGTGACTGTTTTTATAACTGACAATTTGCACATCTTAATCCCTTCCCTATTTTCCCCATCCCCCCAGCTCCTCCTCCCATCTGGGAGCCATCAAAGTATTCTCTGATTCTGTGAGTTTGTTTCTGTTTTGTTTGTTCCTTTATTTTGTTTCTTGGTTTCCACATATAAGTGAAATCATATGGTATTTGTCTTTCTCTGTCTCACTTATTTCACTTAGATTACTTTTTCTAGGTCAATCCATGTTGATGCAAGTGGCAAGATTTTATTCTCTTTTATAGTTCAGTAATGTTCCGTTTTATATATGTACCACCTCTTCTTTATCCATTCCTCTATCAATGGACCCTTAGGTTGCCACCACTTCTTGCTACATTGAATGTAAGAATGTACATGTCTTTCTAATTGGGTTTCTTGGAATACATACCCACAAGTGAAATTGCTAGTTCCTTTTTTGTCTCTTGTTACAGCTTTTGTTTTAAAATTGATTTTGTCTGATATAAGTATTGCTACCCCAGCCTTTTGTTTTGTTTGCTTTTCATTTACGTGAAATATCTTTTTCCATCCCTTTACTTTCAGGCTGTATATCTTTTGATCGAAGTGGGTCTCTTGTAGACAGCATATATAAGGGTCTTGTTTTCTTATCGATTTAGCTACCCTAAATATTTTGACTGCAGTATTTTATTCATTTATATTTAAAGTAATTATCAATGGTATGTAGTTGTCATTTTATTATTCATATTTTAAAATATTTTCTCCCTTAAACAAGTTCCTTTAACATTTCTTTTTTCATTTTTTATTTATTTTTATTTATTTAAATGTATTTTTATTGATTTCAGAGAGGAAGGGAGAGGGAGAGAGAAGCATTGATCAGCTGCCCCCTGCACACTCCACAGTGGGTGGGGATCAAGCCGCAGCCCAAGCATGTGCCCTGCCCAGGAATCAAACTGTGACCTCCTGGTTCAGGGGTCAGTGCTCAACCACTGAGCCACGCCAGCTGGACAACATTTCTTGTAATACTGGTTTGATAGTGATGAACTCCTTTAGCTTTTTCTTGTCTGGGAAGCTCTTTATCTGTTTTTTCCCTACTCTGCCATCTTGACCCGAAGTCCTTCATTATTGTTATTATATGAAGTCTCTACCACACCCTCTTATTACACTGACAGTCCAAGTGCATTTGGTTAGTAGATCACTTCGCTCCTGAAGTGAATAATAGAAGGGCTGTTGCTGATGGTGGCGGAGACCCAGAACCAGCTGCAACCATTACTCTGGCAACCAGGAATGGCTAGATTCCTGTGACTTCTATCCTGAACAAAGAATGAAGGCTAGGCTCACGATGAACTCCCTTCATTTCCGGTAACCTTATTTTCTTGCTTGCATATGTTTTTTAAATCATACATTTGGTAAACCTCTTTTATTCTTAATATTTCTAGTTATTTTTCTACAATTTATTCTAACCCATATGTTGTTTAACATGGTGGTAGATGTTTCCAATGAATATTTATATTGGCTAACAAGTATAGATGCTTTGACGGAGGACCGTGCGTTAAGTAGTCATCCAAGTGCAGCATAAGAAATGTAGCTTATAAATTTTCGGTGGGAATATTTTAACTTAACATATTCTGGTTTGGGTTTAACATACAGAAAAAAATTATAAAATAGATGAGCAGATTTATTGCTCTTTGCATAAGTTAATAAAGGGAAATGTTTACTTAATAATTATGTAAGGTTTATCATTAAAGTTAATACGCATATTTAGCTTTATAATAATTGTATTTTTACTTATATTTGAATAGCAAATAGACACAGGTTCACTTAAAATGCATAGATTTTGGTACTTTGATTATTCCTCTGTTTCAAGATATAATTTTTAATGTTCAGAACATATAAATGTTTAATATCTCCCTACTACTTATTTCAGTGATATTTAAACAACTAAAAGATAGTCTTTTATGATAGGCTGTCTGCATACTAAAGTTTTTAGCAAATGTGGTTTTTATCTCCAAGTTGGAGAAATAGTTGTATGTTGAGAAACCCATGTTTTTTACTAAGGGAAATTGTATCATGGATATTAAAATACTTTCATCTTTCAAAAAAGGTTCTAACCTTGAAAGCATCCATGTCTGTTTTCAAACAGAATCTGTTGTGTTTCTAAACCATATATTTCCAAAGCAGAATAAATTTTCATAACTTTCGAGATTTTTATGGAAATAGTTGAGAAGAAAATGACTTAAGGCAGTGGTTGGCACACTCATTAGTCAACAGAGCCAAATATCAACAGTACAACAATTGAAATTTCTTTTGAGAGCCACATTTTTTAAACTTAAACTATATAGGTAGGTACATTGTTATTAACTTAATTAGGGTACTCCTAAGGCTTAGGAAGAGCCACACTCAAGGGGCCAAAGAGCCGCATGTGGCTCGCGAGCCGCAGTTTGCCAACCACGGACTTAAGGAAGATAAAGGCCAGTTTTTCTTAAATGAATGAAAAGAGAAAAACTTCTTTACTGTTCCTATTCTTTTTTTATTTAGTTTTTTTACTGCTCCTATTTTTAATAGCAAAATGAGGCCCTAGGGAATTGAGGCCTTGGAAATACCCTGAGTCCAGGACCAGCTGTTTTCAGCAGGCAGATGTGGATGTGAACGCAAGCTGCCTGCCGCCTAGCCCTATGCCATTCCCAATCTGCCATACCCACCTCCTTCTTCAGTGGGTTGGTGTAATTTCTAAAATTCAGACACCTGACATTATAAAACATTTTAACTGCTCCTCAGAGCAATGGCAATATGGTAAGTTCACACCAGTCCCTCTCTTTTTTATTTTTAATTGTGGATAAAAGCACATAACATGAAATTTACCAACACCTATTGGGAAGGTATGCACCGCACCTGTTTTTGCTTCGGCCCTGTAGTAGGAAGTTAATTATGTGGGATTGGCTCACCTGATCCACACAGAAGATCTTACTTTAGTGCACATTTGGAAATCCCACACCCCTTTCTGGCCCCGAGGAAAAATTCTTTCCTGATCTTAGGTTCAGTGCTCAGTTTAATCTTGAGCATATGAGAATGAGTCACCCTGGGTAAGCATGCAGTCCCATTTATACCTTCCTTCCAACCTCCCTTTAACTTTTAAACTTAAAATACTGGATCCTGATTTCCTTCATAAGGTCTGGTAATCGGGGGGCTAATTTAGGAACTGGAAGATATTTAGGAACTGGGAGACGTTGAGGTTTTTTTGGGGGGGACCAGCACTTTCTGTTCCACTGAAAGTGAAGCTGCAGAGCCTGAGTTTTAAAATTCAGACTATGTGTGGAATGTCTTTGTGGATGAAGAAATAAGTAAATGCTTTTGGGGGGAGGCAGGCAGAGAGAGGAAGGAAAATTTTAAAATAGTCTGATTTTGTGGGAAATTTTTAGACTATGTACCAAAAATGAGTAACTAGTTGCTTTGTGATTTCTTTGTGGTTCACCAAAGAAATACTTGACATTGTGCTAAAGAGATAATTGTTGAATAGTTGTGTGAAGTGATTGGAAATCTGAGTTCTGCTTTTGATTCCAGTTATCATCGTCTACACAATGTATAACCACTGCTTCTACTGCTCATTTGTAGACTGAAAAATATTTCACTGGGGAATTATTTTTAAAAGAAGACTTGTAAAGGGGCTTGGAATTTTTAAGGTACTTTGAATATAGTACTTAAAAAATGTAAATCACCAATGCTGATGTTTTTACACCAATAGAGTAATATGGGAGTGGGAGTGACTTGATCATCACAACATTCATTTTTGAAGACAGCATACATTTGAGCAAAGCCATTCTCCCGTAAATGCTTATTTAAAATTGACAGTGTTTGAGCCAACAGTCAGTAATCTCACTTAGCAAGTGCTTTAACCTGCACCTGTTTTAACCTGCACAGGTTCAGTTCACACAAAGAAAGGGAGGGTGGGGTTATGTGATGGTAGCACCCTGTTCACTTTATTAACATATTTTGAATAATGGTATGTGAATATTTGCCAAGTAAGCTAGGCTGTGAGGAGGCCTGCCAGTGAGCAGTGGGAATTTCTGAGAGGAGTGTAGAGATTTGAGCCTATAAAATACTTACTTTTTCTTCTTGGAGGGAAAGCATTTTAAAAGATCCTAGTTAGGATATTTTCCTTACTCTCCCAACAACATTTTAAAAAATTCTGCAGAAATCTTGGACCTTCCCTTTTCACCACCTTTTGGTGTTTTTTAGAATATGTACCAGAAGACTTGTCTCCAAAACAGCTTTTGGTAATCTCTCCTGGGTGAGTGTGAGTTCCTACGCAGCCGGTTTTTTGTCTTTGCAGAATTAGTCTTGAAGCTCTTTCTGTGAGCCTAGCTAGGGAACCTCTTCTGCAAGCCTATCTTGTGAACACAAATGGTTGGAACAGGACAGACAGGCTAAACTAGGGTGCCTGTAGAGTCAACTCCTACCTAGTAGATGCTCAGATCATAAAGATGCCAGCCTGGCTCAACTCTGTAGAAATGCTCTTTACAAGGTTCTAGTTTTGTGGCCTATCTCTGCATCTGTCAGAAATATTCTTTTAACTTTGCATTGACACCTGCCTGGATGAAACCCACAACTTTAGATCCTAAAGCTAGTGAAAGGAGTAGCCATTAGAAACCAGGGGTTCTCAAATATTCTGGTGTTACTCGGGTTTTAAGAGTGAGAAGAAGAGGCAGTGCGTATGCTTGGTTCTCTAGTTCTCCTTCGAAGGCAAGTCAGGGGAATATCAGAATCACCAGGGAACTTTCTAAAAAACCATGCACCTTGATCCCCCTGCCCCCACTTACCTATTGCAGTGAGGGGTGGGTAGGGGTGGCAGAAGTGTAATGAGGTAGCATTTGAATCTAGAATCTGTGGAAGCCTTGGGAGCTTGCCACCCTGAAGTAGTTTCCATAGTTTAGTCTGGTTTGCAACCCCTTCTCATGCTTAGTTTTTGGAATGGAAAGATACAGCTTGATGATACCAATTCTCACTCCTCCTATCGAAGATTTTGAAATGATGTTAAATATCTACACTAATAAAAGAGAAACATGGTAATTGGCGTATGACCGCTACCCTTTTCATTGGCTAATCAGCGAGATATGCAAATTAACTGCCAGCCAAGATGGCGGCCGGCAGCCAGGCAGCTTGAAACTAACATGAGGCTTGCTTGCCTCAGTGACGGAGGAAACCAACGTTCCCCGCCTGCAGCTGCAGGCCTCTGAGTGGGCAGTTTAAGAAACATTGTAACAAATACCGCCAGACTTCAGCCAGCAGATTCGCAACATTGTAAGCAAAGGCCAGAAACCTACTTTCAGCCGCGGAGGCCTAAGAACTGGAGCCAAGCCTCAAGGTAAAGCTGGCCCAGAATTAAAAAAAAAAAAGAAAAAAAGGAGTGGTTGGGAACTTCAGTCACTCCCAGCCTGAAAACAGCCCTCAGCCCCTCACCCAGACTGGCCAGGCACCCCAGTGGGGACCCCCACCCTGATCCAGGACACCCTTCAGGGCAAACCAGCCAGCCCCACCCATGCACCAGGCCTCTACCCTATATAGTAAAGGGTAATATGCCTCCCGGCACCGGGATCAGCGTGACAGGGGTCAGCGCCCAAACCCCCTGATCGCCCTGCGACTCTGTGTGTGACAGGGGGTGGGGCCCCAACCCCCTGAGCAGCCCTGCTCTGTGCCTGATAGGGGGGAGCTCCCCAACGCCCCCCGCCCCCCACGGACCCTGCTCTGTGTGTGATGGGGTAGAGCCATAACCTCCCCATCGGCCCTGCCCTGAGTGTGAGAGTGGCGGTGCCCCAACCCCCTGATGGGTCCTGCTCTGTGTGTGACGGGGGCAGTGCCCCAACCCCCTGATTGGCCCTGCTCTGAGCCCGACCAGGGGCTGCACCTAGGGATTGGGCCTGCCCTCTGCCACCCGGGAGCAGGCCTAAGCCAGCAGGTCGTTATCTCCCGAGGGGTCTCAGACTGCGAGAGGGCACAGGCCGAGCTGAGGGACCCCCCCTTCCCCCGATTGCACAAATTTTTGTGCACTGGGCCTCTAGTGCATTTAATAAGATGCCAAAAGAGGGTCTCCTCTCCCCCGCCCTCCCCATTGGAGCTTTGTTTTTTTCTTTGTGTCTTTAAAGGTAGTTCTTAAGACTGACTTTTTTTTTTTTAAATCAGAAAAATGGGAGTATCAAAACCAGGAAAGAACAAATTTGATCATAGCTGTTAAAAACTTATTTTTAAATGCGAACCTAAGAAAGAACTCTGGTATATTAAACCAAGCCCTAAATTTTTTAACAGGCATTGTAATGAGCATATACTTATATTTTATATGCTAATCACATGTGTATATAAGTATATAT